TTGGCTAGGACTCATTATGCTGCAAATAGCAGAAAACTGCTATTCATTCAGGGAATTAGACAGTTCTGAGATAGAGAAGGAAGATCTCAGGATTGATTTGATTTAGGAGCTCAGTGATGTACTCGAGGACTTGGTTCTCTTCTGCATCTCTGGTTGGCCTCTTGCAGAATTGGTTTTATCCTTAGGCTAGCTTCCCTCAGAGTGGCAAAACAGCTACTGCTACTGGCCTAGGCTTTGCCCCCACCTACTTCAGCAACAAGGAGAGAATGACCAAGCTCATTTAGAAAAGCAAAGGAAATTATTTCCCAGAAGCCCCAGCATATCTCCTCTCATACCTTATCAGTCTGAAATTGATTGCACACCCATTCTCCATTCAGTGATTCTTTTGGGCCTGGATAAATGTGGACCAGATTGGTTTAGGTCTCAGTGGCAGGTGGGGTGGGATTATCTGGACTGCCTTATCGGGGTTCACACCTGGAGCTGGAGAGGGGGTTAATCCTCTCTATTCATCACTGCTATAGCCCAACCGGGGATTGGCCGCTGGACATTAAGTTAATACCCACAGTGGGACCATGGCTTACTCATTTCTTTATTTCTATCTTCAATACAGGCTTGGCACATAGTAGGTCCTCAGTAAATGTTTACTGAACAAGGCCAAACTGGAATAGTCCACCTTGCGTAATTTGGAAAGAAATCAGGAGTTTTTTGTATGAGTAAAATGATGCCTGAAAATAAAGCTTATCTCAGCTTTGAATATGGATTAAATGCAGTCTGGATAGAGGTGATAAGACTTTCCATCTCTTTTCCTATCCTATCCCAGGTAGCATAAAATTTTCCCTTTCGCTTTGGTTGCTCATCAAATTCCATTACAATGAAGAGTGTTGTAAACAAAAGTTAGTATCAGGAAATTATTTCTAACTCCTGATAAGTCATTCGATGATCTCATGACACTAAAATTTGCCACTATGAATAATTCAGTAAAACAGAATCTTCTATTTCTTCTTAGAGTCCTTACCACCTAATGGTCATTTATTGTAATTTTTTATTTTTTGAGCAAAACACCCAAATATCTTTTAAAGAGTGCAAGGGCTTTGGTCAGTGAAGGAAGAAACTCCACTTCCTGGCCTTGACTAATAAGGGAGTTAGAAATACCATCAGCTTTTGTTTGAAAAAGTTTTCTAAGGAATGGAAAAAATAGATTCTCACAGGAAAGGTGTGGTAGAATTATTTTAGCATTACTCCTTTTAATTAAGAACACTTTTAGAAATGACCGCATGACCTCTGCTGAAAGTCTTGGTCAATACTTTGTGTTATGAGTACATATTTTTAGGTTCTTTTGAGAAGTATTGTTTTTCTCTAATGAAATTCTAATGCACTGTGGGAAAAACTGGACTTCTATTTGAAGTTTGCTTTGATAAGTATTTTGGCCTCTAGTTATCATCCAAGTATGTACTCATTTCTAGCTTGAGTTATTTACTGCTTTTGTCATGTCTCGGGGGGGGGTCTCCAGCACGTGGCAATTTACTGTGGAGAATACCTATGTGGGAAAGGAGGCTGTGACATTCTAGGTGCATGCCATACCCACAGCCTTAACTTCAGTCCTCTGTCCCTGCCTTGTCCACATCCCCATCACCCTGGCTGCAAATGATAGAGCCAGGAATAAGTGTCACACTTAGGGAGGCCACTCTAGGATGCCAAGTGGCTATAAAATGATCTGATACAATTGCTCTGCCCACTAGGGATGGTCTATCCTGAGTTGTACCTTACCAACCCAATCAGATTCTTCCTCCTGGGGAGTAGCGATGACAAAGGGCTTAGTCCCACACAGATCAAGAATGGGAATTGTTGAGCCACAAAGCTACTGATGGACGAAGCTACTGTGGTTAGCTAGAAATTGTGCCCTGAACAGCCATGGACATTGGTTACTTCTCCCTGAGACCTGCCCCCAGTCAGAGGAATTCCCATTTTCCTTCCACCCCTTTTACCTTTACAGTACCCCCCTGTGCCAGATAGAATATATTAGTGTTCACAGATGTTTGTGGGCTCCTCTAATGGAGAGACCATGTGACTGCTTTGGTCAAAGCAATGTATGGACGTGACATATGTCATTTCCAAACACGCTCTGAGAGTCAAAGCATGGTTCACCATAGTCTTTTCACTTGATAACTAGTGATATTTCAGAGAGAGTAAAGACAACATGGAGCAGTTGTTGATTGAAATGTTCATGTAACATGAGTCAGAAATAAACCATGGATGATAAAAGCCTCTCAGATAGCAAAATCTATCCTTAACTGATTTGTAAAAAAACAAAACAAAACAAAACAAAAAAAAACCTAGTAACCAAGGTAACCTGAGCATATTTCTATCTCTTGCAAACCCAGAGTCTCAATGAACACAATGTCATAGCAAGCCACACTTCAATTCACAAACCTCACAGCAGGTGCTTTTGACATTTCTGGGGTGGAAGTATATTCATTACCTGATGCAGATTCAGTGCCTGTCCAGTGCTAGAAGTTTCTCTCCCCAGTCTCTGCACCTCCAGTCTGTCTCCTGTACGCATACCCCACATGACCCCTGGATCGAGCTCTAGTTTCTGTCTTTTCTCCCTGTTGGGTTTCAGCCTTTTATGATGATGTTCTCCCCCGCCAACCCCTCCCTGAACTTTAGTACAAAATTTCTCCAGTATATAGAACAACTAAAAGACTTGCAGAGGGAACACCCACATATTTACCACCTCGATTCTATAGTTACCGTTTTGCTTTATTTGTTTGGTTGCATATCTGTCCACCAATCCGTCAGTCCATCCCTCTATCCATCTACCTTTTTTTTTGGATGCATTTTAAAGTAAGCTGCCGACTCATGAGGACATGATGATGCCTTTTCCCTTGACATTTAGTCTTTTTCCTTTTAATTCTGGATTTTAAAAAATGGCTTTTTAACCTTGAGGGTGTCTTAACTGTTTCCTCTGCCTGCCCAAACTTGGACATACTCACCCTTTAACAATCATGAACTCAGTGTATTTGTCCACATTACGTAAACCCTGGGTGCCCACACTTTCTTAATCTCGCTCCTTAATTTTTCTCTTGGTTACTTCCTCTCTTATCTCTTCACTCACCACAACTTTTCATTTGCTTTCCCTTCTCTCTTTCAGCTCCCCGGCAGATAATTTTTAAACTAAACAACAGCTGAACAATATCACCACTGTTCCAAGTGTCTGAGTATGCACGGCACGTCCACACTTGCCCAGAACAGAAGGAAAACACAATTTCTTCCATTTTATTTCTTTGCATCAAAAGTGATTAAATCTGTCTGCATGACCTTCATACATCAGACCATTTGGCTATTTTAAAAGTCTATTTAATAGAGTAAGTTAAGCTGCATTCCCTTGGTAGAAGGAATCTTTACCACCAAACGGCGCGGTAAATGCCAAGGGAACAATGCATCTTTTGTAGGACGGGAGAGAGAGACACTGTCATCTTACAATTGCTGAATTGTTTAAATTATTATATGGCAGTTCATGCTAGATACATATTTGCATTGTTGTACAAGTATTTTCTTATTTTGGTTAAAGATGGCTCTTTGAAGGGATAACCTACTCTTGCAAGGCAGGCTTAGAAAACCCCATTCCATGGGCTGGGACATTTAATTTTATTACCCTGACCAGGAATATTTCAATTTTTTAATAAAAGGCTATCAGCAAGAAGGTAAAAGACTGCAAACAATCTCCAGTAACTCAGACACCACCATATTTTATTTACTAACAGCTATAATAAAGCTTTCAGTAAAAAAATATTAAATGGAGCTTTCCTTTTTGGTGAGAATCAACTTCATAACCATCTTTTCAAGCTCATCTAGGATTATAAAGCTGAGTTGGCGGTTTTGAAGTGAAGGGGGAAAAATAGGAAAAAAGTAGGAAAATTTTCATGATAAAATATTATGAGAAGAAAATGAAGAGAAATTGTCCAGAATTATATCATTAATTTCTACTTTAAAAAAAATCAGAATTCTTGTAAATGGGTTCTTTCTTGGCATCTAGAAGGACAAATGGGGATTAGCGGATTAGAAAAGAAAGGAGTAGGAGTTAAAACTCTTCCTGTTGTAAGCAATAAACAACCGAATGCAAACTGGCTTAATTTAAAAAAAATATGTTCGCGGGGTGCCTGGGTGGCTGAGTCATTGAGTGTCTGCCTTTGGCTCAGGTCATGATCCCAGTGTCCTGGGATTGAGCCCCACATCTGGCTCCCTGCTCTGCCGGAAGCCTGCTTTCCCTGTCCTGCTCCCCCTGCTCGTGTTCCTGCTCTCACTGTTTCTCTCTCACTGTCAAATAAATAAATAAAATCTTTAAAAAAAAAAAAAATATATATATATATATATATATATATATATAAACATATATTTGCTCATATACAGAGGACATGAGCCAGGGGATTTCGGCTTTGTGTATAGCTGGATCCAGGATCTAGTACAGTGTTGTTAGGAATCGGCCATTGGTGGTCTAGCCAGCAGCATCTCCCTTCTTTCTTGCTAATAGAACCCCAAATTTATTCATTTTCTTTAGAGTTGCTGTGTCCTTCAGGGATGACTGGGCGAGGAGCCCAGTGCAGGGCTCAATCCCACAACCCTGAGATCATAACCTGAGCCGAAATCAAGAGTCAGATGCTTAACTGACTGAGCCACCCAGGTGCTCTTCAAGGTCTAGATTTAAATAAAATCCTTCTGTGATAATTCCAAAAGCATGTAGTTGCCGCCTACTATGTGCACTATCTTTTATTAGTCCCTGCTGTCAGAAAATAGGCTTGCCCAAAGACGACTAGAGAAATGTCCTCAGAATTCTTTGCATCACCCCAAGTTACTGTTTGTTGATATACTTATAAACCTCATAAAAGACTTGTGCCTATTTCCCCTAACACAAAAAAGCAATTATCCCCTCCTCCTTTGTCCTACTCAGACATGAGGACAAAGAGTATAATTTAATTCCCTCTTCTCTCTTTTCTCTTTAGAGAAAAAGAACCAAATTCATTGCCTGTGATTTTCTGACTGAGTGGTTATACAAGTAAGTTTTGTTTGTCTTCGAATATTCAATGACCCTAAGGGTTCAATAGTGTTAATTTGCAAACAGAATAGCAACATTTGACTTGAATTTTTGCTTATTGTTTTCTTGTCAACCAAACATATGGCATCGTTACCAGTCAAAATCCAAAGAGGATAGGGGAGGCTTTCACAGAATTCTTCTCCATTCCGTTTGTGGACCAGTGGCTGAAACATCAGTGAGTACCAATACAATGCCTCAAATAATTTCTTCCTATTTTAAGATTGTGTTCATGATCGTTTTCTCCAATCCAGCTAACTCATGTAACTCACCCAGGACTCCAGGTCAATTATATTTGTGGCTCTTATCTCTGGTTATTTTCAGTCTAGGCTAATCCTACCCATGTGATGATTATTCAACAAGCACTTCAAAAATAAAGTAGAAAACTTTAAAAAATTTTTATCCTAAGTAATTCATCTCTCCGTACTCTCTCCTTCCCTCTTCCTCCCTTCCCTCCCTCCCCACCCCCTCTTAAGGTTATTATGTCTCAAGAAATATGACTAAACTTTTCTAAACATTGATTTTTAGTTAATTTTTAGTTACCCATCAATTCTACTTTTAAAATATTAGAGCATGACAGATGCAGTTAAAACTGTCTTGGACCATCATTCTAATAGGACTCTTTTCTCCTCACAAATGTAATCAGTTAAGTCTATAGTGCATCCTTGCCGAGCTCATAGAATTGGTGGTTAATGTAAAATTAGATTATATCATAAAAAATTAGTAGTATTATTTGCTGTAAGTGAATTTCCATCAATATAATGATGATGATGAGAAATAACATTTATTGAATGCTTATGTCATTGTTCTCAGCATTTAACACTAATGAACTAACTTGATCCTCATAACGATGCTATTACCAGCCCTATTTTGCAGATGAGGAAATATACACATTATTCTGCAACTTGCTTTTATTTGACTCAAATATGTGCTTTGGAGATCTAGCCCTGTTGATTCAGTTACATCTCATTCATGCCTTTGATGGTGTTGCAATATATTTCATTTCTAGATTTGCATAATACACTCATTCTTACAATAAATATTTATTGAGTACTACAATGTGCCAAACATCATTCTAGATGCTGGAGGTAAAGCAGTAAACAAAGTAGCCCCAAATCCCTGCCTTAATGGAGTTTATATCCTAGTGGGGGATGTCAGACAATAAGTAAGTAATTAAATGCTGTAGGGAAAAATAAAGCAGTGAGGGGGGAATACAGAATATTTGAGGGGGCTTAATTTTTGCATAGAGTGGTCAAGAAAGATCTCACTTGGAAGATGACATTTAAGCAGTGGTCTACTATTTTAAGCCATAGGTGGAAGAAAGATAGCTCACTTAAGAGAAAATGATATATATTTAACCTGTTGTTTTGAAATGTTTTCATGCCAGCCCTTTGCAAGAACAATTTCAGGAAACTGAGGCATTAGAAAATTAAGTGAGCCTCATAAAACCCCACATTATACCGAACAAAAGACCTTAAATTAGGCCCTTAACCCTCAAATGTCACTTTTTTTTACTTAAATTGCCCTTCTTGAGAATGCCAAGTTGAGTAGACTCTTGACTTTCTTAATTTTGAGAATTAAATGTACCCCAGGTATTACCAGTGTTTTTTAAGAGGGTTTTTTTTTTTTTTTTAAGTAATCTCCACACCCAACACGAGGCTTGAACTCATAACCCTGAGATCAAGAGTTGCATGCTCTACCAACTGAGCCAGCCAGGTGCCCCATTACCAGTTTTTTTTTTTTTAATCTGAGAGTAGCTACACACTGAAGGAGAATGATATTGGAAAACCTTGTTTTTTAATTCAGCTTCTAAACTTGTGCCTAATTTTGCCCACTATGAAAATGGAAGACCCATAATGTATTGAGTATAAGTGACTAATAAATGGAATATTTGCATGTTTTTCTAAGACCAGGTTTTTTCAGTATCATTCTGTTGCTTTGCCTTGAAAATGAAACATTTTTCCCACTTCCAAGACCCAGTGAAAAAGAATCTTAAAGATATGAGAACTTCTCTAAAGAAGAGTCCTCTCAAATCCCCAGTCACTTATTATACAAATATCTTAATTTAAAATGGTTGCTAACTTCTGCTGGCAGTGCATATAAGTATACTGAGAAGTAGCCAAAGCAATCATTTCACTTTAACTCTGCAAGAACAAAAAGCTTAAGAGCTCTCACCTTAACTGGCATTTATACTCTCTATTTCCATAACCTTCCAAAGAGATGCCAAGAAGTATATTAAAACTATAAATTATATTAATCTAATTTGATGTAATAAATATTTATTGAACACCTACCACGTGCAATGCACAGAGCCTGGTGTTGTAGAATAAATTGAGATGAATCAAATATGGCTCTGGCTCTGGGGTAAGAGAGCCATGTTTACAACCAGCCATAGTTCCTGTAGTGAGTGTTGTAATACAGGTGAAAGCACTGAAGGGAATTAGGGAAGCATAAGACCATTCACAGACCCTCCAGACAGGCTTGGAGCCAGCCCAGTTAGGGCAGAGGCCAAGCTGGTTGGTGCCCAGATTTGGTTTTGAGAGGCAAAGACTCAGGTACTGTATCCTTCTTGAAGATATTTTTGACCAGATGAGTCAGAGAGATAAGTAAGAATGAGGGTAGGACCTGGGAAACAATATCTAATCCAGGTTTTTTGAACCTCAGCACTATGACAATTGGCACCGGATAATTCTCTGATGTGGGGCAGGCCTGTGCATTCTGGAATGTTCAGCAGATTCTCTGGCCTCTGCCCACCAGATGCCAATAGCACCTCCCTAAAGCCATCACCAGCAAAAATATCTCCAGACACTAGCAAATGTCAGGAGCATGAGGAGTTGAGCGCAGCAAGGAGCCAACCAAGTAGCCCCTGGTTGAGAACCTCTGACCTAACCCAGTGGGTTTCTACCTTGGCTGCACTACAAAGTCATCTGGGAAGCTTTTGCCTGGCTTCACCCAAGACCTGGTAAATGAGACCTATTAATTCAGGGTATAGCCTAGGCATTGTTGTTTGGGGTTGTTGTTGTTGTTATTGTTTTTTAATAGCTTCCTGGGTGTTTCTTATATACAGCCAGAGTCAAGACCTCATCCCTACAGCAGAAGACAGGCTGTGTCTAAATAAATAGTATAATTATACCAGTATAAATAGTATGCTTGAGGTAATAAATAGTATAATTTAGTCATTCCTCTGCTAAGCACTTTTACACGTATTATCTCATTTAATCTTACCGACAACACTAGTATGTAGGTACTAAAGCTGAAAGGAGCTAGGAAGTTTCAAACAAAGTGAGGTAGGTCTTAGGCAAATATGGTGATTGTTGGGGGTGCAATAAATGGTCGTTTTGGATAGGGCTTAAAGGTACAGATTGGAGGAAAATGAATTTTGAGAGAAAACTCCGTCAATGTTTTATAAAGGAAGCAAAATATAAACTAGCACTTCAGGCAGCTTTGGACTGGAGTTAAGAGCATGAGCTCTGGGGACAGACAAACCAGCATTCAAATCACTAGTCTACCACTTACTTGTCACATGACCCTGGGTGTTTTAGCTTCTATTACCATGTAACAAATTACCCCCAACGTTTAGGGGCTTGAAACAATAAATACTTATTATCTCACAGTTTCTGTGGATCAGGAATTCAGGTGCAGCTTGGTCGGGTCGTTCTGGTTCAAGGTCTCTCCTTGGCTACAGTCAAGTTGTTGCAGGGGCTATAGTCTTCTGAAGCTATGACTGAGCCAGAGGGGTCACTTTCACAATGTCTTCCCCACACGCTGGTGGCTGAAGGCCTCAGTTTTTCTCCACATGGGCTTTTCCATGGGCTGCTGAGTAGCCTCACCATGTGGTGACGCCTCTTTCAGGATGAGAGACTCAAGACCAAGAAGGAAGCCGCAGGCCCTTTTGTGATCCCATCTGGAAAGCCAAACACCTGCAACTTCAACCACGTTCTGTTGGTTAATTTAGTGAGTCTCTAAGTACAGCTCAAGTACCACGTTCAAAGGGAGTGTGATTAGGCTCTACCTTTCGAAGAGAGGAGTATCAGACCCTTTGCAGACATATTTTAAAAGCGCCACAGCAGGTCACTCTGTAACCTGGAACCTCCATTTCCTTCTAAGTGAAATGTTTAGTTTGGAAAATTAGGAAGATGCAGTGAAATGATGCACCTGCAAATGAAATCACGAGCAAGGTCAGCCCGTACTAAACTGTGGCTTACTAGTGCTACAGGTGCCGTCAAAGGACTCTGTGGACTTAGGAAGAGAGATACAACAGAAAAGGGTACTCAAGGCCAAAGGCAGGAAAGTGGGAGGAGGCAGGACTTGATCCAGGCACAGGAAACCAGCACAGCTGGCTCATAGAGCATGTGAAGATACAGGGATGGGATAGGAGATAAGGCTGGAGGGGAGTTAGGGGCTGGATTTTGGTTTTCAGTAAAACCATGAGGTTTGGGCATTATCCCATAAGCAAGAGAGCATATTAAAAGATTTTGGAGCAGAAGTATAATGTGAGCAGGCTGTTTTGGCAAGATAACTCCCAAGAATGCAGGGGATATGTGCAACTGGGGAAAACCTGATTACCCTCTTGAACTGGGACAACAGGAATGGAAAAGGAGGTACCTGGGATAGGTAGAGTGGATGGATGGTGTGGGATGAGTTTAGGGATAGAGAAGAGATGTGCCTAAAAAGGTGAGATTTGGGGGCACCTGGGTGGCTCAGTGGGTTAAAGCCTCTGCCTTCGGCCCAGGTCATGATCCCAGGGTACTGGGATTGAGCCCCGCATCATGCTCTCTGCTCAGCGGGGAGCCTGCTTCCACCTCTCTCTCTGCCTGCCTCTCTGCCTACTTGTGATCTCTGTCTGTCAAATAAATAAATAAAATCTTTAAAAAAAAAAAAAAGGTGAGATTTGCTGGGCAAATGGAAGGTCCATGATAGAAGAAAAAGACCTTGCCAGCAAAGCAAGCTCAAAGGTAAAGGCACATTGAGATTGAGGTGCCTCTAGGACATCCGTACTGGGAATATTGGCCTGAAGCTCAGAAGTGGGGTCTGGAGAGAAACATTGATTTTGGAATCAGGGTTCCCATGTCAGATGTACAGATTGAGCTGAGATGGACCACAGCTAAACTTTGGGAGTACCCCAGAGTTGGTTCCAGAGATGCAGTGAAGGAGGCACCTACTCTAAGTCATGTGGTT